ATGAAAGCTACTACTGGTCAGTTTTCTTACTAAACTAAGTTTCATGAACCGTGTTATCACAGTTTGATTGTCGCTTCTGACAGTCTCGTCAGAGAGACGAAAGTCTCAGCTCACCATGTGATGTAATAGCTATTGCCAATTCAAAATCAAATGAAAAAATCAAGAAGTAGATGTAACGTTTAGAGTTTGCTTCTTTTCTATTCGTGCTTGCTTTCCCTTTTTCATGTAATTAGGTATTTGTAATTAAGTATTCATAGTTAGTACATCAACTGTTGAACCTTTTGCATTTTGAGTGTTAACTTTAATTGCTAGTGAAGCATGATTGAACAGTCTTGTTCAACCGATTATCGATGGGTTGAAATAGTCTTTTAACCTTTGTGGTAAGAAAAAGTCTTCCATGTGCTGGGGAGGCTGCACTGACCTCTTCCTACTCCAAATTTTGGTTAAAGCCTCTTCTTCCTCTGAGTCAAGGTAACATTCTTGATTTTCTTGAGTTTCATTTGTTTTTAAACTGATCACATTCCCCTCTGCCATCTGAAAGGATCTGGCAAAATCTTTCTTCAGTTGGCTCTAAACGACCGTTGAATAATTGTATCGAATCTTTACCAATTTCACAAATAACGTCACTTTTCTTACATTTTGCTTCTTCGCTATATGTTTCAAAGAGAAAACAGCTTTCATCTGTTATGACATATGTAGTACCAAAGAAATCATTTGAGTCTATCGCACGTGAAATGAAGATAGAGAAAACGTTGGATTTGCATTTGATTGCGTAAATTCCAATATGTGATCACTCAGTCTGATACGTCTTGTGATCATACCCAGGCAAGGGTACAGACTCTACATCACTTCTATAGTTAGTACCTGATGAATCACTTTCTTTGTTGGAGATTTTCAACAGCTACAACTTACCAGACACTGTACATTTCATGCTATCTCGTGACCAATGATGTAATCAATTTGAAGGGATTCACAAATTTACTGGAAGTAATGCTGTTTTTCCAGCCTGGGCTCAAATCTATGTGTTATTGCATCTGAAAATGTTTTAAGCATTGGTAGATGTTAACTGGAAATTTCAAAACCTTGTTAGATAAGTGTTTATGACTGAGTAATACCCAGTAATAAACAACAAACTATCGCCTTATTTATTTCTGCTCCCGGTTCCCATCCCTCGTGTAGATACCGCTTCCCGCCCCTTATTCTCCCGCTTGCCTCCCTTTCCCGCCCCTTGTTCTCCCGCTTGCCTCTCTTTCCCGTCCCTTATTCTCCCGGGCTCCTGCCCCCCTGTCCCCCTCTACTCTCATCAACTCCCAGCAAGATGAAGTGTTCATGAGGAGAAGTTACTTGTTAAACTGTTCTGGGAATTAACATTTTATAAAGAAATAGTAAATTTAGGGGAAAGGGAGGTTTGTATGTGATTTTGAATGAATACTCAAGGAGCTTGGTAGCACACCTACATGTACTTAATGTGGATGGATATCTAGATTAACTGGTAGATAGAAGTTAATGTTTGTTTTAACAATACCAGGTCATTAGCAAATGGAGAACGACAAGATGTTGGGGTGTCAAGGTGAGAATATTTTTATTGCATTAATGTTTATTGTTGTGAATGAAATTCACATTTAGTTAATAGGAAAGAGTTTGGATTTCCATATTTATATTTATAATTTATGTCATTTATATTAAACAGTATTTTTACATTAGTTATACATTTTACATGTATAACTATATAATTAGGCTTTAGTTTGATCTAAAATACTTATCAGTAATAGACAAAACAGATTTTTTTATCAGCAAAGGGAAAAGGGAGGAATAGGTTGTCCCCAACACAGCCATGGCCTGAGTTTTGCTCCATAATCTGGCATCACACATGGGTGCACTAGGTATATCTTTTAGATCAGTCCTACATGTACATGCAGGTCTATACTTTCATGTGACATTTTTCCAGACCAAAGCCAGCTGTTGCAAAGCAGGACCCATCTTCCCTACCACCAAAAGATCCAAAGCAGACCAAATATAGATTGTCACCAAACAGGAGTGATGGTCTGCTTCATGTAACATTAACCGCAAAACAAAATGTTCAGGAACACCAGAAAAAGATGAGAGTTATTGAGGTGAGGTTGTACATCGCAAAGCCTGAGATACAGCAATTTCAATTTTGTTTTTTTTTTTCTTTTGAGGAGGCCGGCTATATCATTCCTCTTTAATGTTTTTTGAAAAGGGTTTTGATTTGTAAAATCTATTGTGTTATTGGTTTTATTTCAACCTTTTTTTGACCTTTTTTTTGTGTTTCTTAATACTAATTTTATTGAAATCTATGAAGCTTGCTGTCAGGAGAAGGACTGAAAACACTACATGTAGCTTTGTTGTCTGCCAATTATCATCATTAAAAGAGTGGTAAAATAATTTATGTAAATACATGTATATAACTTAGTGGTGTATTTAATAGGATCATATGTTGCAACATAAACAAGAGGAAAGAGAACTAAAGCGTTATGAAGGAGATATCGTTAAGAAACAGCATCATCTCAGAAGAACAATGGCTGAGTATGAAAATAGTAAGTCCTGAGCAAGGGAATTATAGCCAAAAATTCTAAGAGAAGAAAAATGTGTACAAATAGTTGTACCTTGTAACATTGTTTGTCATCCATGAGAAAACAAACAAATAGACAAATTTGTTTCCTTTAAGAAAAAGTAACCTTTATCCTCTCTCAACATTTCAAATTTCCAAAAAAATCACATGCTTTCTTTGAGGAAAGTGTGAATTGTTGTAATTGCATGTAGGATGGGACCAATTTTTGCCAGTGAATCAGTGGTGAAGTGTCTTAAAAATAGACCGAATCTGAAGAGGAAGAAAGATAATTTTTAGCTTAATAAAAATAAGCAGTTTTTCCTATTAATGACAAATAGATAAAAAACAACAAAAAATAAAATTGGAATTAAGTAACTCTACCTTGTTTTTTAAAAGCATTTCACTTAATTACTAGTAAGACCAAGTTTAGTGGTGTAAATGATTAATTGCTTTGCAGAGATTCTTTCCAAATTAACATTTTTCAAATGGATTTGATTTTTGTTTTTATTTCTTAATTAATTGTGGTGCATTCATTAATATATTTTTAGAACATGATCATGAAAAAGTTAAAAATTTAACCATTGTATAAAGAACATAACCAAAAGATTAATGGACCTTTTTTTTTCCTTTCAGGTATTTATAAAAAGGTGAGGGGTGAAGAAACTAAGCTGAGTGAGAACAATCAGGGAATCGAAAGAGTTAAACAGCAACATGCCATACAGGAGGACAAGGTCAACAAGGCAAGAACTGAGAGAAACATGTCTGCTCTTGTGAAATTTAAAGACAAAGATAGGAAGGAAGGATTAAACCTGTAAGTATTGTTGCAGTGATGGGAGCATGACAGGACAGAAACAGTGGGCCCTGAAGTACCTTCCATTGTCCCTCATAAATCTTTAGAAAACTTTTCTAAGGCTTTCTAAGGGACTACGGGGGATACTTACAGTGCCTGCGGTTTCCGTCCTGTAGTGGGCTGGAATTCCATGCTGTCAGGTTGTGGGAATGTAAGAAGGGGTGCTACATGAACTGGTAATTGTGTGCCAATCAAAATCAAAGTTTTAACATCCCCCACCCCCTAAGACAACCCATGGGTATTGACCATTGCCCATTCCCAAAGGGTGGGGAATTTGGACCTTGCCTGTCAAAGGGGTGGGGAATTTGTACTAGAAGTGTCATGTCTTTCCAGCAGAAGTTATACAAGTGTTAAATCTTTAAATGTGAGATTGTTTGAGGTAAAAAGTTCTCCAATAGCCCTTATGGCATTTATGGCCACTGTACGAGAACTCAGCGGACTTTGAAGTTTCGAAATGAGGCTATCGGGTCACACAGGTAAAACTGTCAAGTAAAATCGAAGCAAATGGCTATGTTTGGAGGCATTTTTATTCATTTTCTTAAGGATACATTGTGTTCTCATTATGGTTAGACATTGTATTGCGTACGGGTGCAACAGTCTCTTCAGTGAATCGGCAACTGACGAGATCCACAAGATTAGGATCGAAACCGTGGTCTTGCCAAACAGGTTCAACTATCAAACTAGAGGTGAACAAAACGCACATAAAAAACCTCTCAAATAAAGAACTTACAAACGACCAGATTAATTTACTGGCAAAAGGGCTTAAATTCATTCCAACACCCGCTACAAAACAAAAAAAATCAGACAACAACTACTGTGTGACTTTGATCAGTTCGCAAGGAGAATGCGTCTGATTTACATATTCCGAGGGGAGGACAAAAAAACCCATCCCTGCCACGTCAAATCTACATGGATACCACCAATACAAAAATCAGTAGCCCTTGAAAGCTATTTAGAAGAGGTTAAAAGCGACCTTTCAGAAATAGAAATTACAAAGCCAAAGATAATTTGCTTCCGGCCAAATGCAAGGCACTGAGGGCCTTGAAACGTGACTCTGAGTTAAACCTCAAAAAGGCCGACAAAGGAACAACAACCTTAGTCCTGATCAAATGCCACAAAATTTTGCCGTTCCTTTCCGAAATGACAGCCATTCTTTCTATCTTCCCTTTGTGACGCCAGGACAATTATCACTAAGAATTTAACCTTTTCCTCGGCAGAAATAATGCAGATTCCAGAGTTATAGGGTCAGACATGGAGTGTTTCTGGCGTTTCTCGAGAAGTGTTGACCCGATAGCCTCTTCCTGATACTGTAACTCCGCGGACCCTTTGCATTGCAGACAAAAATGCGGTAAGGGCTACTCACAAGTGAATAGCTCTGAAGAAAACGTTTACAAAGTCTACATGTAGGTTTTCAGTGATTTTGCTTTTTACAAAAAAATCGGATGAGGCATTTTAGGGAAATTTGATCAAACCAATCTTCAAAAGTTCACATGCTCAGGGGGTTGCCCAGAGGGTGTTGTTAAATCTTGAAACCTGACCCATTAGCTTGTGGGCAGAACTGTAAACCAGATAACCCAGCGCTATTAATAGCATTTGTGTGGGTCCTGTAAAGTGCTGGAATTTTATTTTGACATTTTCCAGGGCCGGGTCGTTCAAAGCTGGGTTAAGGTAACCCAGGGTTAGTGGAGAGTAACTAATGTGTGAGCCTGCAAGCCGGAGCCGTTTTTTGCAAGCCTCGAGCCTCTTCTTGCAAGCCACTGTTTGTTCTATATATATCTTTCCATTTTCTCTCCTCATTTTATTCTAACAGTCTTTGGCTCCTCTGCAGAAAGCATTTGAACGTGTAAATCTGAAAAAATGTCAAACTACATGCTCGAGGAGCGTTCACCTGGGCTTCGTAGCGAGCGCTTTACTTGAGAATTCACCACGCGTAAAATTGATTCGAAACTACAAAGCCATAGCATTCACACGAAACACAAGTAGAATTATAATATGCATCACGAGTTCTGAATTTTTTTACCTTTAATGACACTGTAACATCATTATGTTGTTGCACATTGGTCATATTGGAAAAATTTTCTAGTAGATCACAGTCATCAAGAGTATTCATCATATCTTCTACTAAGCACTCGTAACTCCATGCAAAGAGCAAACCAACTTTCACGATCGCTTGCACAATAATAATAGTGATTATGTACGAAATATCAAATC